TCCACATACGACAAGCTTAGATATATATACATTTGTAAGTACATATACATGTAATATGTATATTGAAAAGAGTAACAGTTTTTATTGTAAGTTGGCAGTGGCATTCATACTAAGGGGGAAAATTGTTGAAGCTGCAGCAATATGGTACAAGGAATAAAGCTAAAATTCATGATACAAAGAAGTAAGGTGAGAAAAAAGCAGAGTATCTTTATCATTCAAAAGCTCAGCCAGTTCAGAAGTTAGAACATCAAATTCAACAGGTAACAATTTCATTTGTGCAATATTTTTCCCAAGTGCCAGCCTTGAATTAAGAACATTCATCTGAGAAATTAAAATCTTTCAACATGATCAATCTGAAACGACTACATTGAACAGTTCATCAAATGAAATATCACAACATTGAATTAATTAATGTTACCAACTAGGAGTTGAGACTTAGATTTTATACTCACTGAAATCGTTTCAAATTCAAATCAACACACAAAAATTACAGTTTGAAACAATGCCTAGCTTAAGTACAGATCTCAATTATAATTAAAAAAAAAAGACAGTAAGGCACAAACAAATTAAAACATTTACCAGTAAATGAATATACAGCAACAGCTGTCTAATCTGTGTAACTTTTTGGTCCCCTGGATTGTTTAAAATGTCTTATCCAGAATATTGTCAAATCCGACCATTTTCTTTGGAGCAAGTTGTGTACAGATTAGACATGTTTTACAGTATGTTATTTTTTAAGTTTCATCTCATCTAGAGAAGTCATATGCAGTGAATCATAAGAAATGTAATAGGAAATGTGATAGAGATTGCCAAAGACATAATTTGGTTGTACTGTATCAATTCAAAAAAAAAGGAAATTACGCGTTATCCGTTACAATCAACAGAAGAAGACAAAATTATTTTTGCAACCCTTCCTTAAAATATTTAATTTTTCAAGATTCAGTCTTGAAAATTTCAAATGAGCTCCAATTTTAAGCAAGCAGTGACATGATCAAACTTCAATACTTCACCTCAAGACACAAAATTAATAGTCATCCTATACTTTTTAACGTATTCTTAATTCAGTCAGACTCAGTTATTTGGAAGACTTCAAAACATTTTTTCTTGATATTTCAGTAAGAAAGTTACTGAAAGATTTTTTCCAACAAAGGATTAATTTAATCTATGTGCACAGTCAATTTTTGTTTTTCCGCAGCATACTTTAAATGCATTAAGAACATACCCTATAGGCCAAATTTTTAGTGAGGATTTTTAGTAAGGATGCTGAAATTGCTAAACTTGCATATCACTAACAATTCATTTAACACAAAGGCTATCTAGCATGATAATGTCAAATTACCAAAGTTAAATTTTTTGCTAAAATAAAATACATGTAAACCAGTTTTTATATCAAAACTGCTAACCTTACTTCTCGCTCAAAATTCAACTTAAAAGGTATAATGACAAAGCGAGGAAATCACATAATTTCTTCCTAAGAAATTTTTATGCTGCTAAATTATGACCCAATGAAAAAAAAGTATGTTTACAAACTTCAAGATAAAGATTATTAATGCAATAAATAAAAACCAAAACAATAAATAATTGTGTGCAATTACAGACTGGGAATTTTCAGAAGCAAAAATTGCAAAGTAAAAAACTTCATCCTGAATTACAACTAAATGAATGCTCCTTTAAAAAAGTCTGAAGTCTTGAATGAATAACCGTGCTTTTGCATACTTCAAATAAAATAGAACCTGAATGAGTGTAAAAGGTGAAAACAATTTCGATAATAAGGTAATTTGCATAAGACCAAATTTGGATCCCTCTTTTCTAATTCATGGGGAAGGGTGGAAAGGGGAGAAATTGTCGTCTTGACAAAATATTAGGGGTGGTACGATTTAGTACATTTACAATTCAACAGCAAATCATAATGACCTTCTCAAATTATTTCACAGGAACAATTTACATCAGAGATTATTTTTTACACACTTAACAAAATAAAAATGAGAACAACCATTAATCATAAATAGAAAAATTCTTCCAAAATAGACAACTCAACTGAACAACTTTAAATTAGCAAAATATTATGAATTCCTACGAAAAATTATACAGAACTGTTTCATTTGGTAGTAGCCCATAGAAAACCATTTTTTAAAATTACATGTATTCTCTCTCTTGATATTTTAAAGATTGTGAGACAAAAAATCTAATCTTAACTTGTGTCCACAGACACATATGTCTTTGAGAATAAAATCAAATTCCTTCAAAGTGCATGTAATACAAAAGAAAATATTTTTTAGAAACTTAAACTGAACTTATAATATTTCAAAAATACTTCAAACAAATATAAATTTACCAGGTAACATTCTAATACTGTGTCAACTCGAATAAAACTTTTCAAAATGCTGCTTTTCGCTTTTCCATTAGCCCAAGTTACAATAGTATGGCACATTTGTTCTTTACACTAAAATTAAGGTACAGGTAAATGCAAAAGTTGATCATAAACATACAGTATATATCGAAAGGAATGGACATTTTTTTTTTAGATTTGTCTCATGTGTCATGCATGGAGAAATTCAGAGGGGGCATACCAAAACCTGGGGGGTGCCCGTGTCCCGCAAAAGGAGGGGCTACCGAGGTATTCATCCCCTGGGACATTCCTCTAGAATCAAAACTGTGGTGATTATGGCCTAGAATGCTATTGATGTTCATGGCGTTGTGGATGACGGATGATGGATGAGCTCTGTTGTGGTGGTGATAGATGGAGGATCCCTGCTGATGTGGGTGATGCAGTGAGTTGGGATCCATACCCTGGTGTGGAAGCATGGGATTGGGATGGGGGAATTTAATTGGAGAAATGTTGAGAGCGTCATTCTGTGAAGAGTTGTTCACATCCGAAAAAATATTTGTAAAGGTAAAATTTGACATGTGTGGAGTTACAGTAACACTTCCGGAATGGGGCGTTATTTGGGGGGAATTGGACATGGCACTATGTACACTGTTCATTCCGAAATTATTGAACTGGAATCCAAGTCCATTCTGCGGGCGAGCTGGTGGAAATAACTGATTGAAAGGACTACTGAGTTCTGAATTTTTTGACATAGAGGCACCCTGGTGGGGTCCAGAACCAAATAAATTGGCTGGGAATGGCGGAGATCGAGCTTGGGGGAGGGGAAACAGAGGGGTCATTCTGTTGGCCTCGAACATAGCAGGATGAGGGGGAATACCACTTTCCATTTCCACATAGTTTTGTTTTTTCTTCTGTGATTGTTTAGAAGAAGATGACCTTGAACTTGAGCTTGATGACTTTGACCTAGATTGTTGAGATTGAGGCTGTGAGAGCTGTTGCTGTGGGGCTGGTCTGTGGGAAGCCTGTGGTGGGGCCTGGGGAGGGGTGGGCCCTGACCGGTGTGAGGGTGGTCCATTCATTGTTCTGTTTGTCTGGCTTCCTTGCATTGGTTGAGATGGCTGTTTGTTACTCTTTGCTGTTTGAGATGATGGGGTGTTAGCCGATTTCCGCCCATCCATCACTTGATTGGGTGGAGTGTGACTCAAAGGCTGAGTGCCTGATGAATCTCTCTGTGAAAAGGGTGGAACATTGTTACTCTCGTACCTATTTCCACCAAAACTCTGCTGCACTGGATTGTAACTTTGTGAGGAGGAAAATACCGGATTAAAACCCCGCACACCCATACTGCCTCGGTTGTCACTGCCCAACATAGGAGGATGGTACAGAGGAGGTGTTTCCAATGGATTACTAGAAGAATTGGAAAAGTTGGGAGGAGGGAAAAATGGCTGCATGCTACTGTTCATACTGTAGCCTCCTCCTGAGGTCCTATCTGACCTGGAATCACTGGCAGACTTTGAAGACATGCTTCCTTGTCCGATGTCATTCATACGCTTATGGGGGTTTGATTTACTCATACCCATGTTCAGTGGTCCCTCATGGGTCGTTACTGTAATATTTGGAAAACTGGGTGGTTCTTCTCTTGGCATTGTAGTTTGTTCTCTTTGTCTTTGATCTTGGACTGAGCAATTTCTTGACATTCCATAAGGATACTGTGAATCAGCCATAGATGGCATATGTTGTGACATCCTGGCATCATGTTCATGAGAAGATCTACGCTGTGAGGATTGTGAAGATGGCATTTGTGAGTTGGAAGGCGGAAGATTAAGGTCAAAATTTGACAGATTGTTCACTGGAGGTCTTTGAGACTGATTTGATGAAATGTTGCTTGGAGCAGAGTTGGTATGCTGTGGAGAGGCAGACGTGGTTGGTGGCCTTTGGTGGTGAGATGGTGGTCTCTGTGGTGACTGATGTGGAGAATAAAATGGGAAATTGTGGTTCCCTTGATGTGATGAGTTCTGGGATTGTGAAGCAGGTGACTGCATCATGGATGCTGTGGATGTAGTGTGGGTTGATGAATTAGAAGACAATGTGAAAGTAAATGGAGTGGATGAAGACGTTGTATTTGCAACAGTTGATATTATTGGAGACATTGTCAAACTGTCCATGAAAGAATTCGTGGAAGTGGTAGGTGTTGATAAATTGAGACCAATGTTATTAAAGTTAAAGCCATCTGAACTATTTTCATTTTGACCACGAGGCAAACTTGTGGACATTGAAGGACTAATCACATTTGGTGCCGATTTGGATGATTTGTCATTTTTAGCACTGTGAACAAAATTGTCGGCAGAGTATATAGATTTAGGCCTCGCAGCACTACTACTCTCCTCAGTGGGCTTCATCATGGAATCTGTATTACCAGACATCCTTGTTGTCTGCTGCAGTTGAGAGGAGTTGGTGTCCATTCCTCTAGAGCTGTCCAAATGCTTGGACTGAGAACTAAACAGAGACTCAGCAGAATATGTCAAATCCGGATTGGTAGATATGGAGGAAGGAGCAGACGGACGAGTCAAGTGATCGTTTGACATGTGCGTCTGCTGCTGATATGTAATGGCTGGGGAAGTCATGGGAGACTTCATGGAAGCTGGCGAGTTGGACTTTGGGGTCTGTAATTGAGGTGACTGTTGCACCTGTTTATGCCTCATGTTGCTCGGCGATAGCATGTGAGGAGAAAGTCCCAGTAAATTGTTCACAGTTGATTCAATGTCATTTGTATCTACTGTTAGAGGATTTGTATCAACAGACATCTGATCCACATTTGATCTTGATGCCGCAGGTCTCCTGCTGTTCAAATTTCCCTCCGTTCTATCTTGCCTGCTAGAATCCATATTTTGAGTTGTCATAGACATCTGTTGTTCTGTGTTCCCTTGAGATTCAAAAGATAAAGATGAAGAATTTTTGTTGTTAGATTGTTCACTAGGAAAATTCACAGAATGCTGCCTTGTGTCAGTTTTGCTCAAAAATCCATTATCTTTCGAAGAGTACTGTACATCCATTTTTTCTAAACCATTTTCACTGTTTTTCTTAGTCACATCACTGGTTATATTTTTATCACTATCTGTCCTACTTTCAGAACCTAACCTGTCTAAACTGTTAGAATTCAAGAGATCATTGTCTGATTTTTTGGAAACTGTTACATCAGATATTTTCTCCTCCACCTTTTTGTTCTTTTTGTGTTTTCCACGCTTTTTGGGAGTCATAGGAAAATCGTCAAAGAGGGGAGTGGTCGTGGAGCCTGGTTCAGTTGTGATCACAGGCATGGAAAAAAGCGGACTGGAAGAGGTAGGAGTTTTATCACTGCTTGAAGAGGCCGTCTGGTTCTTAGCATTCGCTCCTCCACTTAAATTTCTGGAGGAGTGAAGTGGAAAAAGTGGAGTGGAGAAGTCTGTGTCTTCATCAAAATCATACACTGACATGGAAGATTTGGAAGCAGTTGAGGCCTGCAGTGGAGGTTCTCCTGCTTCTTTTGATTTCTCTTTGGAAACATTTCTTTTTCTTCTCTTGTTGGCAGGCTCTGAGTCCACATTTTCACTTCTGTCCTTCTTTGACTTGGATGATTTCTTACTAACACTGTTTGTAGGACTTCCAAAGGAATTTTCCATTTTCTCCACTTGGTTTAATACATCCTCGATATCATTTTCACAGAAGGTGATTTCTTCCGGCATTGACATCAGAGACTCCTGTTCCACCACAGACTCTTTCAAGGAATTTTCTTGTTCAGTTTTCTTTGATTTCTTGCTAGATTTTTTAGAGCTCTGTGTGGCAGGCTTGTCCTCTAGACTTATCA